TATATATATATATATATATATCTGTGTTAGTGTAAATTACTTGTACCTGATGATGACAAAACCTTGTCAAAACGTTGTATATTTGCTGTTATGTTAAACTTGTATTCAAGTTTTTCATCATTACCCATTCAAGCCGTCTCCAACCATTATTAGTCTCAAAGTGGGTTCCTTGTCATCGAATTTGAAACCAAGACGATGTGTAGGAAATGTTAAACCTGACAATGTGAGAGATATATTAAACCACCAATGTATATAGTCGAAGAAGAAAGGGAGGAAAGTTAAGAGGAGAATCCAAAGGAACCCTAGCAACAGGCCTTGGGTCATGCAGGATTTCCTAAAAAGATCACAAATGTGTCAGAAATTACGTGGTGAAATACGAACATGTAACGTGGGCATTCTTAGTCCTGCAAAAATTGCCCTTCTGATTGCAATGAAAGATTGTATAGTAAAATGGGGAAGAACCAAGAAGTGATTGAGGAAGGACTGATCAATTATATACCTTATATACCTATAATGCAATACTTTTTCTCAAATGAAATTGAGTTAATCATACTGCTCAAAACTCTATTAATTTCAGGATTATAATGAAAAAATTAATACATTCTTTCTGTTCCCAATTTCAGTTATTATAATGATTCACTAAAAAGTTACTTTAAAAAAAGATCAGTATTTTATTATAACATTTTTAAAACAAAGAATAAAGAACTTTCTAAAAAGTGTTAAAAATTAGACATAAACAAATCATTTTGTATGAATCAGTAAAATTATTTAAAAATTTTTTTTTTCATGTTTATATTATTTTTGAGCTATTCTTTATATAAAATAAAATCTATTATCTACCTACCTTTAAAACACCCTTTCTGCTTATCATAAGGGTTTCCAGTAAAAAGACCATTTTTGGGACAGAAACATTCAGGTTTATGGTTGTAAACAGTGCATTCAGCATTAGGACCACAAGGTGATTCATCACATGGATCTTCAGATTGAAAAGACAGATGTTTATTAACTTAAATTACTTCATTTAACATATTTTGATTTAACAGAAACTTTGTAATGATTATCAACTTGCCATGTGTGAACAATCATAGTCATGGTCAGCTGAAACTCTGCAAAAAGGTCCATAACAGATAATGAATGATAAAACCCATGTACTTTCCAAGCTTTTTTTCATTTGATGTATAACAGAATAAACAGTGCTGAAGTTTGATGTCATGAAAACAACACAAGCACACAAAAAAGACATTACACAAAATTAAAACCTCATGAGTATGGTGTAGTAAATGTAAAACATAAGATTCATTCTTTATAACATAAATACTAATATGCTAAAAATACACACTGAAAGCTTTATTAAAACAAAACAAAAAATCCATATTATTTAAAAAACAAAATTTTCAAACTAAAAGTTTTAGCTCTTTTACTGAAAAAAAATCCAAATCTTGACAGTATATCCATTTTTTTATTCTTATATAAATATTTTCCTTACTTAACAGTAAATCAATCACAAAACTATTTATTCACCATTTTACTTTAAAGTATTTATACCTTGCTAATCACTTTCAAGATTGTCTGCTTCAATAATAAACAGCTTTAAAAATGTTGACCCTGTTTTTTTATTTTAATATTAAGCAAATTACATTATTTGATCAATCCTGGTCATGATATGTTTAGGAGATTAACTTAACTAGTGTTATATAAGTTGCTTCCCTTCATAATGGGATTTACATTACAAGACTACTATCAAGAACTAAATGATATTGTGAAATGATATTTTTGTTTTATAATTTCTTTTCAATTGTAAGATATCTTCTCAACTTTTCAATATATTTTATTTAAACCTTCTTCCCATTAACTCAATGTGCAATAGACTAAGCCTGTATTGGAGAAGTAATATTCCCTATAACAAAATTCATAAGTGATTCTTCACAAAATGTGGCCAGTTTTTAGTAAAAAGTACAAGACTGTTTGATACAAAAAATCAGATGTGTTAAAAAATATTAGTACTCAAGATATATCAGTGATTTGATGACATCAAGCTGACTCAGACTCTGAGAAGTTGGAATGCAAGGTGACTTTTCATGATAAGGACAAAATAATTTTGTCCATTGTAGTTTGCACACTGCATTTGCATAACCTCTAAAGCCACTAAAATTCACTTCTACAGTTTTTTCAGTATTCCTGCGTATTGAATCTGGTATTTACTCTCCACTACCATGAAATGTCACTAAGGTTAACATTTTCCTTAATTGAAAATGTATTTCCAATAGATAGTCACCTCCATACACAGAAAGCTAGAAATCCATGCTGAGATGGTGGAAGGACCAGTGCAAAAGTTATCTAGATGAGCTCCCTTGAGCAAGTATCTGAAGAAGGCCCATAGGGTGTGACACCCTATTGCAGTGGCTCCATAGGGTCACACCTGTGGAAGACCACATCTCATCTCCCCCAGGGTATACTCTTCACCCGTGAGCACGATTAGAATGGGCAAAAGGCATGCATGGTGTCCAAGCATGGATGGAATAAGTACATGACTGTCTGGGTATTCACACACAAGACATCAGACAGCCAATAAACGTAGTGAGGTTAGGGCATGTTCAGACTGTACTGTGGGTGCCCACCTCCTCAACCATCAGTTTCTACAAGTCAAACCCAGCTATAGAAGAAGGGCACTTGCGATATGTATTCATACACAGCTCCTCTACTGACAAATATTTCAGTACTCCACACCAGTCATGGAAAGAGAATACCATGTAGACATATTTGTTTATTGGACACATTTAGTATGGAGACTTATATAACATAACTCGACCATCAGACACTATGATCCCATTGCCTGCTGCAGGAATAGGGCGTGTGAGCAATACATCACAATTGGTTATGAAATAATATCATATATTCTACCATCAAATACAGAGGTTCAGGCCACTGCAGGAGTAGGAAGTATGATAAAAACAGACAGATATACGAGCATGAGATAGTGATATGTGTTCAAATTGTGATGCATCTATATGAAATGGGGTGATCCACAGTACACTCTGGAAAAACCCTTGTCCCACTTCTCATCATAGAAGGACCCATGTTCTAGCCTCTGGCATTTAGGTCCCAATTGGTGAGAATTCTCCATGGTCTACCACCCCAGTAGCTGGGAGCTTATAAGTGGCGAGGGTCTCCCATGCTCCTCTCAAAGGGGGTATGTGTGTCTGGATCCCCATCAGGCACTTGTCAGAATGTTCTTTTACTGGAGACTATGAAACCCTATTTTTTAAAGTCAACAAGCATGAGCCAAAGAAGCAGAAAAATGCACAACTGTGGTGCTGGCTTTTTTCCTGATAGTCCCTGGAATGGGAACAGTCTGGATCAGACTGGAAAACGTTATATATAAATACCACAAGTAGAACTCCAGTGAGTCTTGTGGAAAACCTGATCTCACAGTTGGCCAGAGTGAGTGATCTGAGCACTTTCCATTATCCTGGCCTGCTGCAGAATTTTGGGTAAGTATACCTTGTGAGGCAACACTAGCCACCTACCTGGATCCAAAAGTAGAAGAATGGCTGTGAATAAGTAATTGAGTACTCACATCCATTACAGGTTAATTGAAGAATGGCCATTCATGGAAGTCTGTATGCTACAGGAGACAAGGCAGCCAGATAGTGGAGATAGTTTAACCCTTTCACCGCAGTGAATGGGTTAATATGATATGAATTATTGTGGGGTAGTCCATATGCCAGTCTAGTGAAATGGGGAAAAACTGAAGAGAGCATACAAACATCTGCTGTCAGAGGGGTATATACAAAAGGTATGAGCTGAAGGATTTAATCTGTAATGGGGAAGGAGAGAGAGCCCAGGTAGAGAAGGTGTCCCAGATACAAAAGGACAGTGAGAAGAATCACAAGGAAGTAGGGCGTGACAAATCATTGTGTGGCCCAAACAGGACAAGAGCATCTGTTCACAACAGAAGGAACACAGAAAAATAAGAAATAAAAGGAGAAAATATTTGAGAAAAGGAATGACCAAATTCCCTTACCATGGAATGCAAGGGAAGGATAGACTGGCCAAAACAAAGGAGAAGGGAAGAGTGTGAGGAAACAAGGGTGTAGAAATGTGTACAAAAGTAAGTAGAAATAGGACCTGTGTCCAGGGAGAGCAGAAACATCTACTAGAAACTCAATAGGGATCTATGTAAGAGGACATAAAACCTTATTGATAATCCAATCAGGAAAGAAGTAGTAAGGAGGGAGGTGGAGAAGGAAAGAAGGTAGAAAGAGGCAGAGAAGAAAGGAAACTTGAAACTGGGAAGGATGAAGGTCAAGTAAAGTTCAGTCAGAAAAATGTTAGAAAATGTGAACTTAGCCAACGTGTGAGTGATAAGCCATAACAGACAATATTTTAAAGTGAGTTTCACAGTTTAATACAGATAAGGAGTATAATTCGTCTTGTCAAAGGGTGTTCTAAAGTAATTGAACTCAACTGTGGGAACTTTGATAAAAAGGAGACAATTATTTAAAATTCGAGATATAACTGTGGTAACCCACAGAGTAGCCTCAGTGAATATATCACAGATTGTACAGTAAGAAACAAAGTAAAGAAAAATAATTCATCATGTCAATTAGATTTTAAAGTAATTGAATCAGCCTGAGTGGACGTTTGACAAGAAAAGAGAATTATTTAAAGTGTTAGATACAAGTATAGTGTAAATAAATTTTTTGTACATATATTTGCCTTGTTTTGAATATATTATTTTAAAACAAGTAGATTGTGTGCTGCCCGTTTATTGTCCAATTTATTGCCAACAAGTCACAGATACCTACTGTAGAAAAATCCCAGCCTAAACATATACATACAACCTTAACACCAAGGTGAAAAGTACATCATACTCAATAACACACAGAGGTAGAAGGGTGACAGGAGTGGGACAAATGAATACTACAGTACTACATGCAATGAGAAAGGGATGCCATATCCCAAGGAAAGAGCAGTATACAAGGGTGGATCAAGAGGAATGGAAAGTTGGAAAAAGGAAGCCAGGGCCAATACTAAAGGAGGTGGAGTAACAGAAGATTGTGAAGACTGTGAGGGGCCATTAAAGGAAAAGGTGTATCCCGTAAATGTGTCCCAAAACTGAGAAAGGACCTTAGGAAGAAGATGGAGAGGAGGACATGCATATTAAAAACATGAGACAGGCCAGACTGAAAGCATAGACAGCCAGTGTTGAGGAATGAGGCAGAGGAGACAAAATAGAAAAATGTAGCAAAGAGGGGGTAGCAAGGCAACAATAGGAAGAGGAAGAATGAGAAAGCAGAACAACAGACGATGAGTGGGTGAGAAACCAATCCGTGGGTGGGACACAGTCCTGTTGAGAACATAGCCCACAAGGAAGTGAAGTGCCCCAGAACATGACAAATTATGAGCACATTTGAAAGACATAGACTCAGAACCAAGTCTGAACACTATCTTCTTGATATATATGTAGAGAGGTAAAGAAAGAAGATAAAATATTATCTACCAAGAGTACATGTTACGGAGTAGGTGACCACATCTAAACATTGACTATGGGTGACATTGTATAAAACAAATGTGAATGATCAAACTCTATTTGCTGATGGTATGTGAAATCATAATGAACGAGATCTAATCTTTACAGATGATAGAGATATGTAAAGGAGCAATGGATGAGGATGAAACATGATCCACTACATGTAAATGCTAAGAAGTAATGAACTATAACAAATATTACTGTCTATGTCTGACTTGTCAAGGAGCAATGGATGAGAACTAAGTACTATCATTCATGGGAACAAATTATCCAGTAAAAAATTATGACAAAACATTAATCATGATGTGGATACATTAGGGAGTAAGAAGTATTGTACATGTCTATACATCCTCTTCAAAGTGTTGCAAGTTAGATAAGGATAAACTATATTGCAAATATCAACTCTTATGTGTACATATTAAGGATAATGAAAGAAAACCAAATATGAATGTCTAAATAGGCATGCTAAAGAGGAACTAGATCGAAGCACCATCCATTATGTGTACATATTACAGAGTAATGAACAATGAAGAAATATTACCTTCTACGTGACATAAGGAGTAAGGAACCATGACCAAACAACATTCTGTGTTATATGAAAAGAAGTAATGAACTAGAAATACACAGTAACATCTAAGTATACATATAAAGAATAAGCAATTATTTCTAAACAGCAAATGTCGTGTATATGGAAAGAATCAATAAACCATGACTAAACACAATATTGTAAGTGGGACATGATAAGGGGGAATTAAATATGTCTAAACATTGTCTGCTATGGGTACAAGTAAAGGGGTAATGAACTATGGCAAACAGTAATCCCAATGTGTTATATATTAAGGAGTAAGAACTAGAACCCAACCTTAATAAAGATGTGTACATGATAAGGAATAATTAACCAAGATTACACAGTATCTTCCATGTGTACATGTGAAGAACAAGAACTAAACATTAACTTCTAGATGTACATGTTAAAGAATAGGGAACTAATATCAAACCTGAACAGTTGTGTGTGCATGGCAAGGTACAATTAACTAAGATTCTCTTCCATCTATACACATGAAGAAGTAATGAACTAGATATAAACCTTACCTTCAATGTAGACATGGTAAGGAGTAATCAACTATATCAAAACAACATTTTCTATCATCTTCTAAGTAAACATGGAGTACAAACTAGCAATAAAGATTAATATGGATGTTTACATGGCAAGAAATAAGTAACCAAGACTAAGCATTATCTTCCAAGTGTACACATGAAGAAATAATGAACAATAACTAAACATTATCATCTAGGTGGACATGTTAAAAAATGAAGAACTAGAATCAAACATTAATAGTTAAGTATACATGGCAAGGTATAATCAATTAAGACTAAGCATTATCTACTAATGAGATGTAAAAATTAGCTGCTATTTGGACATATTAAGGAGTAATAAACCAGAATGAAATATCAACGACTATGTGTTAAATGTGAAAGAGCAAATAAGTGTAACTAAACATTAACATCTATGTTTACATGGTAGAGAATAAATAAATATGACCAACCATCAATGTCTATGTTTACATGTGAAAGAGAGATGAACTATGACAGAACGTAAGTGGAACACATTAAGGAGTAAGTAACTATGATTAAACATTATAGTCTAAGTAGTACAAGTTAAAGTGTAATGAACTAGTTCTAAACGAAATATCATTAGTGAACATGTTAAAGAGTAATAAACAAAGTCTAAACATTAAGCCCTATGATTTAAGTGTTAATGAATAATAAATCATATCTAAAAAATAATGTTCACATGTTACCTGGTAAGACAGGAAGGGTAAAGCATAAAACAGCATGAGTGAATTGAGCCCCAAATTAAATGCCAGGAGCAGCATTAACAGGGGAGAATAAAGGAAACAATGGATAGAAGGCTTATGTAAGGCAGGAAATTCGAGAGATATGCAGTAGGTAGAGAAATATTGGGTGGAAAGTCACCTCAACTTCAACTTCCAAATCTGCAAAGGGAAACATGTGGCAGAGATGGAAGTAGATCCAGGCAGCAACATGAACCCCATCACACAGTGGATGATGTGACATTACTCTCCTTCTAACTGTATTTTCAACCTGAACAGCACATTTTGCAATACACGATGGCTGTCAGTTTCTCAACAAGCAAGAACTTCCTAAGTGTTAGTGACAGTGAGTGACATTTGTACTCACATCACCAGAAAAAAAAACGAAAAGGTTGGAAATACAAAGTAAAGTTGTTGAAGTAACTACTTCAACAAGTTTCAGCAAAAATAGACATGTCTAAATACAACCATGATGAGGAAAGGAATGACACATTTCATGCACGAATGCACAGGGAGCTTTTACACTCCTGCTCATGATGGGTTTTGCTGCATGACATGTCATCATGCAGTAGTACGATTTCACGTGAAATATGAGTGGGAGTTTCAAAAGGCTGGTGGTATGCAAATCTCTCAAGCATATTAGCACAACTTCAAGAGGAAAACAGCTTTCTTTGTATGGAGGTGAGTGATCATATTGGAATCAGCAATGTAGGATCAAACTCTGATATCAAATACATAATAGCATGTTGAATGGCATTCTGTAAGAGGTTGGGAATGCAGACTTGGACCCCTACTCATGCACATAGGGTTATAGAAGCCCTTGAAACTTATCCTAACCTTTTTATCATATTATATATATTCATTTAAAATTACAAAACAATTATATTAATTTCAACATAAGAAGATGAATTTATAACAGTGTGATAACTTCCTCAGCTTGGGATCAATTACAAGGCCATACACATTACAAGCGAGTGTTCTGCCAAATGACTAACTGGTTAACACACTAACAATTGCTACTAAGATCCTTTTTAACAATTTCAACTGACACATTCTTCCACTCTCAGACACAAGGCCCATATGCCGGTCTAATGTCAGGGTTATAGGAGTGCCTGTAATTGGGTGGCAGTTTTTCTCATAGTAATTTAAATTTTTTCATCTCCTATGTCCAGCATAGGAGCCTGAGACTTCTCACATTATGAGTAAGTATCCTACCAACTGAGCTAAATGGCTAGACCCTTAGCTACCACAACAGCTTTTCCTTACCTTTGATGATATTATAATATAACTATTAAGACAACATAGCCAAAAACAAAAAGCATCACAAATAAGACAGCTAAATAAAACTGAGTTACATAGTACATTGTTCGAGTGTCCCTTTGTAAGAAATGCATCTGCAGAAGTAAAATCCCACATTGGCAGAAATATATTTTATATCAAATTTAACATCTATTTGCAAGTCTTGCATATGGAAGAATAAAAAAGGAAATTAAAATATTAAGATTAGGTATGGGTAGTCAGACCCACAGTGTCTCATATAAAAAGCCGCCAGTCAGTTGTGAGAAGTTGCTCCTAATGAAACAGGAATATAAAACTGAAACAGGTTACTACAAATGAATTACTGAGGATGACAAATAAAAATCATCTGTGAAATTGGATTTCTAGCCCCAATAGAGGTCAATAGTACTCTAAAACCTTTGATGTTTAGGTTAAAAATTATTACTATTAAACACATAGGAAATGGACTTTTATCCCAATAATGCAGTAATAAACTAGAGATCTGGTTAAACTAACCTGTTTGAACTTAATTTTCTACTTAATCAGGAGCATCTACCTTCTCATAACTGGCTGCAGGTGATGAACTGTAATTTTAGATGTGGAACATTGTGAGCTGAAGTACCTGTATCTGTTTGTAACTTGCTTTCTTTCTTCTACATTTGAGGTTTGCAAATAGAGGTTACATTTGATAGATAGTATTTTTATACCATTGCATGGGTTCTACTTTTGCAAATAATTGTCTTAGAAAGAACATTTTATCCTCCTCATGGTATAGCTAAATGAATAGAATGGTTGTCAGAATAACCAAAGTTTGTAGGTCTACATGAATGTAGTATAAGTTTTAAATATCAAAATCATCTTAAAAACGGAATATTCGAATACAAAATTTTTAAGTTATAGAAAATACCTAAAAACTACTCACTGACACACAACGGAATCCCATTTGCATCGTGACTACAAGCACTATTGGGTGGACAATCAGTGTTCCCATTTGGGCATTCTCCTGGGCTATGGCCTGAAGAACAGAAAAAATAAAGCATACAAAAATCTTAATTTCGTCTTGTAATAACAATCACTCTATGACTCCTGCATGAGTGTTTCTAGTGTAATGTAACATTAGGGCTTTACAACTAATAATACTAACAATGAATTATTCATGCCTCATTTCAAGTTATAAACATTTTTTCAGTGTATTAGTAGAAAATAGAGCAATAAAAGACACACATATTAGAACTTGAACAGATAAAAATAATAATAAAAAACAATGAGTGAAAAGAAACATCAGGGACTGGCTTGTTTAATAAAAAAACTAATAAATGAAGGTAACAAGTTGTAATTTGTACCATAATATGTTATCAATTAAAATATTAATCTCTGTTCTCAGGTGTTAAAACTAAAACAAATGTTCATTTTAGAATACATAGTATGTATATTTTAGCACTAAGCAAAACTGTCTGACATTTAAATTAACAAACCTAAAATACTAGATTTTATTTTGAAAAACTATACAGTTTTAACTGCTTACACCCTTTAAATCCATCCCCAATTTCTCCTGTGCGGCATCTGCAATAGTAGCTGCCAGGGGAGTTCTCACATATGGCAGTTTGATGGCATGGATTCGACCTGCATTCATCAATGTCTACAACAAAAAAGTATCAGTACATGAGCTTTCTTTAGTATGTATTGAATATCTTCTAAGATATCTTTGCAATAAAAAAATGGCTATTACAATATATTATAAGAAGCTTATACGTTTCTGTTTTAGTTCTTCAATATTGGTAGAAAAGCTCTATTTGTAGTACTACATTCTGCTCCCAACAGATATGTTCCTGAAACATATGATTTTTACCTGTGAAGACAATCCAAAGGCTATTTGACTAAAACAAATAACATTGAAATCATTCAATACAAAAAAACAGAAATTCCTGGATTGAAATTGCAACAGCTAATAAAATCCAAAACCTATTTTTCTATGTTGTGTTTATATGGAATTTTAACTTCAAAGCATTTATACCTGTACATCCACTTGCAGTAAGTTGAAACCCAGCCTTACATGTGCATCTATTGGAATCACATAATTCATTCAAATGGCAATCAACGTTGCTACGACAACCCACTATAGAAAAAAACATTAAATGAAAATTAATAATAACCAGATAACAGTTTAACTTAATTGCATATATTATCCCTTCAATACATTCTTTAAAAAATGTGAATGAAATATTTTGAATGTGAAATAAGATTATTAGCCACAAAAATATTTCTTAATAGCTTAAGCAATACAATAACAACAGGGTATTCACTCGTAAGGTATACATTAAAATATCCTTACATGGAGGAAAATTACATTAATTTACTACAACATGACCAACAAACAAGTTAAAGAATATTTTGCAGAAAATACACACAAGAAAAAAATAATATGTGGTGTTTACAGACATATATATGTTACAAAAGAAAAGAAATTTGCATACCTTGGCAGTATTGGTTAATGCATATCTCTCCTGTCAGACAGTTACTATCACTTATACAGGAAACTAACAAAAAAATATTAAAAAATTCTGGAATTGAAGACAAAAGCCAACATACATGCAGTTTATCTCTATAAGATATTAAAATGCACATACCAAAAATACAATGTTTAAGTATATTTCAGTTTAATTTGACCAAGAAAAGATTGTAACATTATTACATATTATTATTTTCATAGCTAATGAAAGTTCTGAAACAATATTGTTACATTTTACATTCAAATTAACAGTCATTGCAAGTAAATTTTCTTGTTAGTAAAAAAAGAGCATGATGATAAGTATGATGAAAACTTAGTCTTGGTGTTACATCATGATAACACTTATGATTCACGTGAAAAAATCAGATATAACTATTCAAATTCCAACCTACCCATGCAAACATTCTCAACACATTTTTCTCCTTCAACACACTTATCACAAGGGGGACGACAGCGCTCCATTACACAAATCATGGGAGGTGTACAGGAAGTTGCAGGAGAACAAACACTGACTGTACGTTTGCAGCCAAGCACTGGTAATGGATTTCCTTCAAAACCTGGAGGGCAAGTACAATCTGCTTCATGGTTTCTTACATTACATTTGGTATTTGGTCCACACACTCCTACAATCTTGCAAGGATTCTCACACTTGTTCTGGATACAGGCCATAGATAGATCACAATCACTATTTTCTCTGCATCCAATTTGGCAGAAGCCATCGAGGATACAGGCTTCACCAAGTGGGCAGTTACTGTGAGTAAAGCAGGGTATAACACAGTGATTGTCAATGCATCTTTCTCCACTGGCACACTCTTTATCCCGAGTACAAAACAGTCTACACTGTTTACTTATACAAGCTTGGTTAGAATCACACTCTTCTGTAATGGAACAGTTTTGAGACACTCGCACACACTCATCACTAGCTGTGGGATTTCCATGAAAATTATCTGGACAAGAACATGTTGCTACATGGTCAATAACTTGACATTCTGAATTACGTCCACAGTTGGCTTGATCACAAGGGTTTTTGCAGAGCAGTTCTCCAGTTGGGTGATCTATACATGCTAAATCTGTTGGGCAGTCAGAATCTCCATTTGGACAAGAATTAGGATGACGACAACCATTATTGTAAGGATTACCCAGATATCCTGGAGGACAGTGGCACCTATAACTTCCAGGAACATTTACACACTTGGCTGATGAATGGCAAGGTTCTGATTCACAGAACTTTATGCTCTCACAACCACGAGAATATGGGTCACCTGTGTATCCAGGACGACAATGGCAAACAGCCTTGTGATTCTCAACCAAGCAGACAGCATGAACTGCACAATTGTTCACACATGGATCTTCAAAAAAAATATATATATACTTTATATTTTTTCAAAATAAATATATTAAAAAAGAGAGCCCTGTGAATCAAAATGCAAGTTAAATAATGAATAACGTTATTGCCTAATACAGTCTATAATTTTTAAGATGGATATGAATACTATGTGCAATAACATAAATATAAAAGAGTACAATAATTTTGATAAGATGTGAAAGACTGTAACTGTGAGATAAAAAGAACAAAACACACATCCACCAATTAAGCAGCTCAAAGAAAACAGTTTCATAGAACTTAAAATATCGGTTTGCACAGTTCAAGTAGGTTAGTTGTATTAAGTAAAAAAATCCATTACACATAAAACACACTTACCATAGCAATAATGCTGATGTGCACAAGCTCTGTTGCTGTCACAGTGTTCATCCTTTAGACATTCCACTGAATAAAAAATGTTATAATACAACCTATTATTACATACTTTGATGTTTAAAAATATTTTCATTGTTCTTAAATTTAAATATTAGAGATGCCAATCATCTCACTAAATGCATTTATTAGTCGTATCCCATAATACAGATCACCAAATAAAAAACTAAATCATGATATACTGAAATTCTGGAATTCAAAATGTTTATGTGTAAAAAAAACTAAGATCTAAAAGTTTTACATGTTAAAAAACTGAAATCTAAAATAGGATATTTGAGCACAGTAGTTTGACAAATTATGATAAAATTCTTTTAAATTTTATAACAAAAGAAGTCTAATCAATTAAGAGAAGCCATATTTAATTACTTTGTCAAACAATTAAACCAAAATATAAATTCTAGTTTACTACAGAAAAGTAAAATTTGAAAAAAAATCATATGTAATAATTGGAAGTTCTTACCTTTTTGACAACCCTGTGCTAGGTCATATGGGTCCCCATCAAACAAACCAGGTGGACATAAACACTCAGCATTGTGGTTTTGTGCTACACAAACAGCATTAGGGCCACAATGGAAATGTTCACAAGCATCTGTCAAAACACACAAAATATGTTTAGTGATGAAGTTTATCCTTTAATATTAAACTTTTAATGTATGTTATGCAAATGGAGTTCAGTCAAACTGGATTAATGTCACAAGTGGGGTACCCCATGGCTCAGTCTTAGGACCTTTGCTCTTTTTGATTTACATAAATGACATAGATGAAGGTGTGGTCAATAAGTTAATTAAATTTGTAGATGATATTAAGGTCTTTGGAGTTGCTTGCTGTGAAGAGGATGCTGCTGACTTACAAAAGGATTTAGATCATTTAGTGAGGTGGGCAAATAAATGACAGATGGGTTTTAATTATAATAAATGCAAGATAATGAATGT